TTCCAAACTGTTTATGAAACATGTGATCCATCTTGTTTATGGAAGAGTCTTCCATAATATGGGTAGGAGGAAATTTTTTCTCCATTTAACATTGAAAAGAGTTCTTCTTTTTCAAAATGACTAACAGAAAAATAAGGAAGATCCAACCTTACAAAAAGAGATAGCAAACCATTTTGCTGACCACTTTAAAAAAGTTCAACTGGTATGTACTCGTTAACTATATTTAAGTTAAAATTCTTGAAAAATTGAGTGGATAAATTCTTAGGTGCGGAATTTCAAAAAACTTTAATTCAAGGAGGATGTTGTTTGACCAAAAGATACTGAAACTTTTTTTATTAAATCAATTAGTGGAGATGAGGAGGTAAATCTTAGTCAAATATAATACACTCCAGATCTATAAACAAATAAGAAAATGATGCACAAGACAAAATGAGGGCGATCATTCTTATTGATATTTTTCGTTTCTCCTCTCACCAATCGATGGAGATAATTGTTTCTTCTTCTTTTTTGCTAAGAAGATTACAGAGGAGAGGAAAAAGAGAAAAAGCCCCCCCNAGGCACCTTCATACCACGTCCGTTTTCGTCGACCCCTGAGTATTGTTCTTCGACTTAGCAGACACTGTGAGTACGTGGTTTGGAACAAATCATGACGTCTTTTGCTATCCCGCCGCTTGGACAGGATCCCAGTCGGGTCGACCATAGCGGTCAGATTTTGACCAATACAGTTAGTCCCTCCGTCTGCCGGGGTCGTCTCTTGTTGGGCCTGGCAGACGGATCATGACTTTTGCATCTCTAAGAGAAATCTGACTACCTACCCTTTGGGTACGAGTTTTAGATTCAAGCAATGTAACGACGCTCTTGTGATGCCCTTGAACCATCGCGACCGTTTCAAAATCGAAACATCGTTTAACTTGAAACGTCGTCCGTGGTTGCTTCCATTATAACACATGTTCCCAAGGGGTTGAACCGTTTCATGCCCTATCAACTTCGATTGGTGACTTTTGGGTTTCGCGCTTGGAGAACTTATATCACTTATAAATAGAAGGAAAGCACCATTCGATTGACACACTTCCTTGCCTTTACTTGAAAGAACTTAGCGAATCTTATTTTCTCCTAATACTTCGAATTTTTTATTTTCTCCGATTAGCCATGAACTTTCGTCTTTTCTTTTTTCCTTCCATCCCTTTGGGCGGGTTTATCAAGTATGTTGTTCAGAGTACTTGTTAACCATTCTTCTAGCAGTCTTCTTACTACCGGTGGTGCCTCTCCTGTTGTAGATATGGAGGCTTCCTTCTCACGCGAAGCAGTTACACTTTCGTGTGGGGGAGGTGAAGCATCTCCCCTGGGTGTGGTGTTCGGTGTTCCATATTTTGGAGAGTCGGGGATCTTCTGGGGGAGTGCCAGTTCTACTCGACCTCTGCGCTTCCTAGGTGAGTCCCAGTTCGCTTAACTTTGTTTGTATCGGAGAGTATAATGTCGGAGAGTACGAAACATTGTTGTTTCGCTAGTGTTTGTTTCGTGCGCACATTGGGATTTCCTTATCTAATCTCTCCGCCTTCCGGTCTAGGGATGTCTTTGGTAGGCGGGATGATGAATTATACTTTGAACTTGGGGATGTCTCCCTCGTCAACTCGGTCCATAAGTCCCCGAGAAAACCCTATTGGGGCAACTCCTGGGTTGGAGGATAGAGAGTGCAGCTTAAGGGGCGTCATTTTCTAGAAGTTGGATTGTCAGGTGGGCGATATTTCGTAGTACTTTTGTAGTAGTTTCCCATTCTCCAGTTGAGATGTTTCTTTGCTCACTCGCTTGTGCGGCGCTTGTGTTTCTGTTTGAGCAAACAGCAGAAGATGCGCCAAGATGATGTCTTCCTTACCTCTATCGGACGAGCCGGTGAATGATGGTGGATTTATAGCATTGCTCGTTTTTTATGGCGTTTCAATGGTTAATGGGGTGGTGGTTTCTAAATCCGGTGGCCATATTCAGCTCTGCCTTTTTCGTTCCTTGGCCCTGCGCGGTTTTGGGCTTGCTTTGGCTGGTTCATGGGCTGCCCGGAGTGCGGGAGAGGATGTTGGTTGCAATTTCTGCCTGCATATAACATCATGATCTTGGTTGGCGTATGAGGTTTACTTACTACTCTTTTGGTGGGTGATCATGTTTATGGTTTTTTTTATCTGCAGGAGACTAGGAAATTTTCACTAAGAAATCCCCATAGACGGCGCCAAATTGTTCGACCAAAAAATACGAAAACCTTTTTTATTAAATCAATTAGTGGAGATGAGGTAAATCTTAGTCAGACATAATAGACTCCAGATCTATAAACAAATCAGAAAATGATTCACAAGATAAAATGGAGGCGATCAATCTTATTGATATTTTTCGTTTCTTCTCTCACCAATCGATGGAGATAATTGTTTCTTCTTCTTTTTTGCTAAGAAGTTTACATAGGAGAGGAAAAAGAGAAAAAGGCCCCTCTTTCTAGGAAGGTTCCCTCCCTATATATAGTCATGGAGTCCTTGCTACATTCTTGGGTCAGGCACCTTCATACCACGTTCGTTTTCGTCGTCCCTTGAGTATTGTTCTTCGACTTAGCAGGCACTGTGAGTACGAGGTTTGGAACAAATCATGGCATCTTTTGCTATTCCGCCGCTTGGGCGGGATCCCAGTCGGATCTACCACAACGGTCAGATTTTGACCAATACAGATGTAAATCAGCCATTATTTAAGAAGCTTACAGAAAATGTAAAAAAAGAAAAAATTGAAATAAAGAACAAATAACACTTGCAAGATAGGAACTTAATTTGTTGGATGCAGATATATTAGTAAATAAAAGTGTACTTTCCACTACTAAAACTCAGGTGATTTCCGTCCCAGACTTTCCGGCCGAAATGAGACAAAGGGCTGATTTCAAATCTTACTATCACCTATTACTTAAAAAAAAAAAAAAGATTTTCACGTATTTTGTTAATGAAATGAAACCAGTATTAGAAAAATATGACGAACAAAGTATATTTAGGCTTGAAAAACATGAATGGAACAAATTCTTACACCTTCTCGCGAGGCAATCACCCAAGATCCTTCATTTCGGATACGAAAGATAGAAACCTCCTAGTTTCCTATTATGCCATTCATACTGTTACTTGTAATTAGCATACCATCAACATATCAACAAATTAACACATAATAATCACATATCCACCCATAATTCTGTGGGTTGAAGAAATGTAAATTTAAATGAATTTATATCACAAGCTCTTCCAAAGTTTACTTATACTAAGTCTAACATTGGCCCATAAAACACTTATTCTTCCACAAACATCCCTACATTTTGATTATTTCAAGAGCCTTTTCCATAACTATTATGAAATCTCAAAATCATATAGTCAGTCTTAATGCACAAAATATATTATGCTTCTCCCAAAACATCAAATTCATTAAAGGTCATCAACCTTTAAGCAAAATCTAATAATTTTTTTCAGCTGTCTTATCTCCCATAAAACACTTATGGTGTGTTTGCTACGAAGGAACATATTTTCCGGAAAATATTTTCCAATTTTTTCATGTTTGGTTAGTTTAAATATTTTGAAAAATATTTTCCGCTGAACTCATTTTCCTTCAATTGGAGAAAAATATTTTTCCTATCAAAAGAAGGGAAAATATTTTCCAAAACTCTTTTCAATTCTTCCTCCCATTCCACATCCCCACCAACCAACCCCTACACCCCACCCCTACCCCGCCCCCACCTCCACCCTAAATAGAAATATTATTAATAGTACTTTAGTATTTTTTTTCATTTCAACAAATGAGTATTTTCTTTTCACGATATAAAAATAGATTTTTTTTCATTTTTACAAAAAAAAAAAATCTTTTCATTATGTAGAAAAAGTATTTTCTTTCATTTCAACAAAGTGAGTACTTTATTTTCATGTTGTAGAAATAATACTTTTTTTTTCAACCAAAAAAAGAGTATTTTTTAAAGTTATGGAGCACCACTTTTGATGTTATTTTTGCATAAAAAAGTAAAGCAACACATTAGTTCATTTGAATTTGTGTGAATTTTTAGAAGAATGATTAAATTCTTGAAGAAAATAGAGTCATGAAAATGTTGGGTATATGGAGGGGGAGGGGAGGGGGGGAGAGCACAAGAAACATAGGGACTTACGGGAAGGGGTGAGGAGAGTACAATAAAAAAATGAAAATATTTTTCAGAAAAATATTTTCACTCACCAACCAAATAAGGATTTCTAGGAAAACATTTTCCTTCGTAACAAACACACCCTTATTCTTCCACAAATTTCTGCATTCCAAAATCAGATAAACACTTCTTGCTTTTCTAAGAATATTTTCTACACTATTTGTTTAATGCATAAATTTAAAAGGCTTGTCATATACCCTAAAGCTATTTGCATACAATTCATAGCAGTCTTGTAAAGGAGAGGAGCAAATATCACTTTTAGATAGCATTTCGCACAAGCCTTCGATTTTTTTTTCTTCATTCATGTTTTTCAAGGCTGAATCTGTTTGTTGTGTTCTTCTTCATATTTTTCCAACAATCAGATCCATAAGTAAGAGGGCGTGTTGGAGACAAACATAATAAATAAATAAAAGTGTTATTTAATTCTCTAATGACTTAAACTTTAATTAAATCAATCACCCATTTCAATATAATTATTGGTTCAGATTTAGGTTTGAAGTATCGAAGTGGACAGCAAAAGTTGCCCTAGATTTCGAACAGAAACATAATTAATCAATCAATGCCAGCCATATATTACACATAGTGTACCCTAAATACACATCGTTATCATTCAAAAGAAAGCATATTCAACAAATAGTGTGGGTTTCATCGTAAATGTCACGAAAATGAGCTCCTTTTTCACAAGTGTGCCTTTCAAATGATTCCTCTTTATCTCATGCAGCTTCCACGAAGGAGAATTTTACAAGCAAACAATTTTACAAGCTCCACATATTCCTCTCTCTCTTTCTTATATATATATACACACACATCAACCTGTACCCTTGACTTTTAAGTTACCTAAAACGCATTCACCCCACTATATTCCTTAGTAATTTCGATCTTTAATTTCCTTCCTTTTATTATGGCAAAAATGGTAGCTGCTGCTCATGAAGAAAACCCTTTCGGTTTCCAAGACTATTTTCCTTCAATGATGGAAAGACTTGGAGCTGAAGGTTTTATGAGGGAGCTTTGCAATGGATTTTGCTTGCTAATGGATGTGAGTATAGGGCTTATAACTTATGAGAGTTTGAAAAGAAACACTATATTGCTTGGTTTGCATGATCTTAGAGATGATGAGTTAATTTGCATGTTAACTGAAGGAGATTTGGATGGGGATGGAGCTCTTAATCAAATGGAGTTTTGTATCCTTATGTTTAGATTGAGTCCTGGTTTGATGGATGGATCCAAGCAATATATGGATGACTTGGGTCTTATTGATTTCCAACCCTAATTTATTTTACTACTATGTTTCTATGCCTTTATCTTTTGGATGTAATTGTATTAATATCATGAGATGCCAAATAAATAAAATACTCATGTGTATGATGTATATGTACCCCGGAAGGAGTGCTATATAATCATACTACATCAGGTGCTTCTAATTTTTTCTTAATTCTGTTGTTGTTCCTTTTTCTTACTTCTTTTTTCGCTATTTGCTTAACTTATGTGCACTTGTAACCAGGGGCGGATTTAGGGGCGGAAGGGGTTCACCCGAACCCCCTTCGCCTAAAAATTATACTGCATATATAAGGCAAAATCTGTTTTTTACCTCTATATATTAAGTTTTGAATCCCCTTAACACAATTCAAAAGTCTAGTTTAGTGGTCAAAGGGGTTCAAAATCTTCATAACGTCATAGGTTCAATTCCCACTAACTACAAAAAAAAAAATTCAACCCCTTACTAGAGATCCTAGTATATTTTTTAATATGTTGTAGCAGGTAATTAATCTGCCTAATTTTCAAGGTCAGTAATATCATGAGATACCAAATAAATAAAAGACTTCATGTATATCTATCTCGGAAGGATGAATAATTGTATATGTTTGCTACATATATCATAGACTTGTACCTCATGATGTTAGTTATGTTCTATTCTGCTAGCTGTTTTTTTTTTTTATATAAATAAAGTTACGCCATAGGTGGCGCATTGCATTCACTCATCCAAAAAATCAGTTACAACAGAGAGATAGCTGTTTGCTGTTACTTTTTCTTCTTTAATAATTCTTATTATTTTTTATTTGGGTGGAGGGGAGGGTAATTTACATACAAATTTAGGAATGAACAAGATGGTGGTGCAGGGTCAGAGTGCTGCAAGAACAGTAGTATGTATCATCTAATAAATTAATCTATCACATCATGAAACTGTGAGATGGAGGAATACTTCCAGACGTTAATCTGTAAAACCTCAAAACTGTAGAGATGCCTTTTGCAAGGGTAATGTGAGCTAAAATATCTTCCAAAAGAACAAGAAAGGCGTTCAGTTGATGAATGGAGTATATCACTACAGAACAAGAAATATGCAGTACTAACAGACAATGCTTCTAGTGGAAGCTTCCTTTTCACTAGCTTGTTTCAGAAAGTACATCATAGGACAATTGAGGACGACGGAAATTCTGTCATAATAACTTCACGTAGTAGTATATTTGGATAAAGAAATTAATTGGTAAGAACCAAGTTATTATAAATTTGGATAATATTAGACATTTATCATATATAGATAATCGTACTAGATTTCAAGGTAATTTGGCAATAAAAGTGTGTAAGCTCTTCTCATCATTTCATGCATGTGAGACTTGTTTAATGATTTATTCCAATATCTTGAACATCAGATTGATATCATAAAATTCTTTCAGAATATCAAGCTACAAGAGTTACAATTAATACAACGTGATCAACATATGAAGAAAGTGCAATGAGAAGGATAAAAAAGTAGTTTAATTTGGTTTCAACAAATTTTAATTTCATTCCCCTTTTCTTTTTTCATCCTAATTATATATCAATCAATTAATTTAAAAAGAAAACCACGTAGAAACATGGCAAGAACTCTAAACAATAACTTTGCTCCAAAAAATCTAAAAAGGTAAAACCATTTATCACTGTTCATGTTAAAATCCACCATTGTTGTGTGGATATGGAGGTCAGCTGAGATGTCGAAGATGAAGCTTAGATAGAGAACGTTCTGGAAATTGTATTAAGCTGTAAATTGAGAAAATGAATTACCAAACCGATTCTCAATACTGTACACGTGTGTATATATAGCTAATCAACTGTAACTTCTAATAATATCTAACCTCCTAACTAACTCTGTTAAGCTATACTAAGATAACTAACTCTAGGCTACATTAACTGACTGTCACTCAACTCCTCTCTTCATTCCTCAACTTCTCATATCACCTAGCTGTCAGCTTAGTATTTCAACAACCCCCTCCCCCCTCGCTCAAGCTACCCCTCCCTCAAGCTAGGTGGTGTGAAAATGTTCAGCAATGACTACCAAATCCTTTTGTCAACACATTTGTTTCTTGTTCATCAGTTGGCACATACTTAGGATGTATCATACACATTTTCCTTATAAAATGGCAATCAATCTCTATATATTTTATTTTTTCATGAAATACATGATTGTTGGCTATCTGCATTGCAGCTTTATTATCTGTAAACAACTGTATTGGAATAAGAATCTTGATTTCCAACTCTTTCAGCAGTCCTGCAACCAGACAAGTCAAGCTACTGTCAAAGCCATACTTTTATGTTCTAATTCAGATGAGCTCCTTGCTACTGTGTTTTGCTTCTTTGACTTCCAATCTATCAGGGAACTACCAAGTTCACCAAATAACTAGTTATTGACTTTCTTAAGTTTAGACAACTTACCCAGTATGCATCACAGAATGCCTTAAAGATTACATACCTTTCTACACTCATTAACACATCAAGACCGGATTCATTTTTCACATATCTTACAACTCTATAAGTTGCTTCTAGATGTGGCTTCTTGGGTGACTGCATGAATTGGCTCAAGGTCTGCACATTGTATGCATATCCGGACTAGTTAATGTCAAATAAAGCAATTTTCCAATCAGCCTTGGTATTCCCTCACATCTGCTAGTCCTGTATCATCATTGATGTTGCAGTGTTTATCATACTCAATTATTATAAGCTTCATGTTCTGCTCCATTGGAGTAAGTGCAAGCTTAGATCCTGTCAAGTCCAGTTCTGCAATCAGTTCTAATGCATATTTCCTTTGGCATTACTTGATTACCTTCTGTGACCTACACACTTCAATCCCCAAGAAGTACTTCAGTATTCCCAAATCCTTCATTTTGAAAGTTTTCTATAAAGTGTCATTGGCTTCCTGAATCAGGCTAGCATTATCACCTGTGATGAGAAGATCATCCATATACACAAGTATTATGACTTATCTATTGTGTTTCTTCAGAATGAACATGGAATAATCATGTTTACTTGTAGGAAACCAACCTTTAGAAGAGCACTAGTGAGCTTGAGATTCTATTTCATGGATGCTTGTTTGAGTCCATACAAAGATTTGAGTAGTCTACACCCTTTGTTCCCCCTTGGCTACCAAATCCAGGTGGCATTTGCATATATACCTCTTCTTCAATATCACCTTAAAGAAAATCATTGTAAATATCCATTTGAAACAAGTCCCATTGATTCATGGCTGGCAGTGCAATTACAGTCCTAATTGTCACCATTTTGACGGCAGAAGAGAAAGTTTTCTGATAGACCAAATGTGATGACCCAAAAGGTCATCACTTGAGTTACAAGTAAATTCTGTATTTTGAGGTCTTAAAAGCCTCCTTTTAACTCTCTTCGATTTGCGTGCATGGTTCGGGCGTATATCTGGAACGCTTTTATGTGAAAATTTGATGAAAATGCTAATTTGACCTTTAAAATTGAATTTAGGTTGACTTCAGCCAATATTTTGAGTAAACGGACCCGGACCCACGATTTGACGTTCTCGGAAGGTCCGTAAAAAATTATGGGACTTGGGCGTATGCCGGAATTGAATTTCGAGGTCCCAAGCCCGAGAAATGAATTTTTGAAGAAATTATTTAACTGAAATTATAAGAGTTTTTGGAAATTTAAATGTGTTTGAATGGGATGGTATCGGGCCCATATTTTGGTTTCGAAACCCGATACAGGTCTTATATTGTATTTAAGTTGAGCTTGTAAAATTTTGTAAGAAACGAACTTGATATGACGCGAATTGGACCCTCGGTTGTAAAAATTTGAACTTAAGAGTTCTTGAAATTTTTCTTTGATTTTGATGCTAAATTCGTTGTTAAAGATGTTAATTTGGCGATTTGATCACACGAGTAAGTCCATAGGATATTTTTGAGTTAGTATGCATGTTTGGTTTGGAGCCTAGAGGGTTCGGGTAAGTTTCGGATAGGTTTCGGAATGCTTTTACACTTAGAAAAGTTGCAGGTTTTGCTGTCTCAAGTGCTCAGTGATTTTCTTCTTCGCGTTCGCGTGGCTTCACTCGCGAATGCGTAAGGCAATTCCCTCAGGTGTCAGTTTATTCTTCATGAACGCGGAGCTCAGGACGCGAACGCGAAGCTTTGGGGGGAGTTACCCTTCGCGAATGCGTTCAGGCTCACGCGAACGCATAGGGTTAGTGGGCCTGAGGGAAGGAGTTCAATTTGTTCTACGCGAACGCGGCCCTTTGACCGCGAACACGAAGGCCTGAGGAGCTAAAGCTCTGCGAAAGCAGATCACCCAATAAGAACGCGAAGGCCATTTGGGCCTGACCCATCGCGAAAGCGGCAGGCCCATTGCGAACGCGATGAAGGTCTGCCCAGTCTTTTAAAAACAGTAGCAAAAATGGGCATAACCCATTTACTCCATATTTTCGAACTCCCAAGACTTAGAGGTGATTTTCTTCAGACAAATTCATCCCTAAAGTATTGGCAATCAATTCTAAACCTTACTCTTTCAAGTACCCAACTATTTTTATCACGTTTTAATCAAAAATCAAGAGTTTTCATAATAGAAATTAGGAATTTGGGTAGAGTTAGGGGTTTTTGAATAATTGAAATTTAGACCTCGTTTTGGGGTCGGATTTCGAAACTAATTGCATATTTGGGCTAGTGGGCGAATGGGTGATCGGATTTTGGTCCGAACCTCGAGTTTTGACCAAGCGGGCCTGGGGTTGATTTTTGACTTTTTGGAAATAATGATAGAAAATCTATAATTTAGCATTAGGGTTGAATTCTTTAGCATTTATTGATGTTGTTAAATTAATTTGGACTAGAAACAAGTAATTTAGAGGCGAATTCTAAAGGAAAATAGTATTTGAGGCTTGAGTTGGCCGTGGAAGTTCGAGGTAAGTGTTTGGTCTAACCTTAGCTTGAGGGATTAGGTATTGTGCTTTATTTTCTATGTGCTAGAGTAGTGTACGACGTATAGGTGTGGTGACGAGTATCTATACGTCGTTGTCAAGCATGCTCGCGAGTCTTAAATTGTAATCGTTGTGTTCTTAATAAATACTACAAATGCCTAAGTTGTTGATTCTCCGTGTTGGGCAAGAATTATGATTATTCTCGTGGTATTTATTTATGGTTGAGTATTGGTTCCAGTTGAGGTTTCATTTAC